CTTGTATAACAGCCAAGGGAAAAATAGTTTCGTTACAAATTACATTATCGATGTGTAAGAGCGAATTATCATTTCGATAAAATACCTTAACAATACATTTTTTAAAGTCAGAAGCTAAAGATTACAAGCGTCCAGTTAAGGAGATTCTAATTCTTTCATGATTTTTAAGAAATAAAATACCCAATAAATAAGTTATTACTATTATCATGATTAAAAAAAAGTTATTTCTTGCAAACGCCACGACAAGATAGTCAACTCTCATGTAAGAAAGAAAACTTTGCGTTCACGGGTCATCCATAATGTAAAATTATCTGAATTATTCGTATCCGTATCGTTAAATATCAATGATCCTTATAGTAATTTAAAAATCTCCGAAATATTCCATTTGTTTCGCCATTGCGCTATACGTAGAATCGTTTGCGTATTTCACTTACTACGATCGTTACATAAAGTATAATTAAATAGATGCAGCATTCACTTGACCAGAAGATAAGTATAATTTATCGATGCCTTGACAGGCGTATCACCAGAACCGTTCAAACGTACCTCCGCATATAGAAGTTCAAGCTGAACCATACGTCGTGAATGGGTCAATGTTTCAAAAATTTCTAATCTAGCCATTCATTGGCACTGGTAAAGGACATTGCACTTGCCACACGATTAAATGACTCTGTTCTCCGTGTTCCTCGGCATTCACAACTACAGCATTGTTCGATCGTTCCATAGTCTCTTCCGTATCTTCTCCATCACCTGAAGAAATAACGAATAATAATTACAAATTAGATAGATCCAACAATGATGTCACGATAGGAATCAGTAAAAAGTGCGATTGTCAGTAACATTTTCTGTACAGTACGATGCATGACAGCTGGAAATGCCCACCCCCAGAGAATGAAAAAAGCAGCACGATAATTGAAAAGTTGCTTGAGAGACGAAAGTGCAAATATACCTTTGTATTAATGAAAATTATTGTAAAAATATAGTTTGTGCTGTACAGAAGCCGCAGTACATCAACTGTCTTGATCTTTGAATTTCAGGAATATAATGGAATAATCGTGTATACACGTGTTACATGTACATTTCAATATGCGTCGATGTATATTTGTAGAGAAATGAGAACAAATGACCATTTTTAATATATTATGATTAGAGATGTATCTAACTACTTGCAAATTTGTTAGTTTAGTATTTCATAAGACCGTGCACAGAACATACTCTCGATAGTTAGTATAGATTTCATCAACGGAATAACAGAGATAACTTATACAATTGTACAAATGATTGTATAAATCGAAAGAAAGACCCATCAACCGTTTTTCATTTTTCTCTGGGGGCGTACCTGACCAATTGCCATACAATCAGATGAGTCGCCACGTCACTCTCGTCTTCCGCCTCATCTGCTGTAAAAATATTTTAGTAACGTTCACTCTGTTTTGGATTAATGAATATTTAAAAAAAAAGAATAAAATTGAGAAGTATACGAATTGATTTCTCCGCGCTGTAAAAGAATTTAATTGAACTATAAAAACGATGAAACTTAATTAAGAATCTAATTTATAGTTACTTACCAACTCTGAAATCTATGTAACCTTCACCTCCGGAAAGGACAAGCATAGCCGGTTGAGAACCATCGGACACTACACTTTGGCCGCCATGCCCTGGAATATAAATTTTTATACGGATTAATTAATTATGCTGATATTGATATGGATTATTTAAATCTTGCATCAATGCATGCATTGTAGAACGAAGTTATCACTTATAAACGTACCAGGCACTGCAACGAACATTTTCACCGCGTCTCTATGTCCATGGAAGCTAAGTTGAGCATGAGCCATACTGCAATAAGGTATAAAACTGCCGGGTGTAACGCCACGTTCCGAGGCGAAGATTCTGACACCGACTCCTGGCGCATCATTTTTAGGATTTCCTGCTTGAACCCTGGATACCGCTAATGAGCCACCCGCACCTGTTTTAGAAAGAAAGGAAAATACGACCATTCGTCAATAATTATTATTCATTTGCCACTATCTCAGATAACTATTGCTTTTCGTAACTTACTTTCGGATAAAGGAACTGAGATAATTACTCCGTTTCCTGTTCCAATCCATAGTCTATTCGAGGATATGAGTAATGCAGTAATTCTTACAAACGAGAAACCAAGTTTCCCGGTTCCTAGCATTTTGCTAACATAAGGTTCAATGTCAACATCTTGAAGATGTTGATAAGTGTGAGCGTGATACAACCTCAGTGTCGAATCTAATCTGATGCTGACCCACACCCCTTCTCCCAACCAAGCTAATTGTCTTACTTGGGATTCTCGACGTGGATGAGCATCTACGGTACACTGCAAGTTTTACATTAAAATGTGAAATACTACTGTTAAGTCATTAATCATTGAAACTGGATCTATTACATGAATTTTATTCCTATATCCGCACCATACAGTTTTGCCGCTAACAGCAGTCATGCACCTAATTGAATGTTGTGGACTACCCAACGTAATCACATGGTATTGAGACAGATCCCATTGTCCATCTGCACCTCTGCGAAACAACGCGACAGTACCATCGGCAAGAGCAACGAGGACTCGACCTTGTACGTGACTGAAAACAAATTTTCATGTTAAACATACATGAACCAAAATACATATTCCAAAGCAATACTACATTTTATCAGTAATTACATACACGATAGCTAGTGCGGCATCCTTTAATTTAACAGAGTGTAGACAAACAGACCACTTAGCGACGGCTGAATGAACGAACACTTGACCATTTTGAGCTCCAAGCCACATAGTAGGTTGTATCGAAGACATTTTTTCTATAGTCGTGTCTTCTTCGATATTATTCTCATTTTCTTCAGTTTCATCATTTTTCTCTTCCAGGCATAAACTGGACGTTTCTAAATTAACTTTCACAAAGTGTACTTTCCCTAAATTTATCGTTTCACTGTCTACATTCTCTAAACTTTGTCGCTCAGTAATAATAGTGTTTTCATTGGTCTCATCTAATTTTTCTGCATTTTCATTATTCTGTTGTTCCGAAACACGACCCGATTCATTCTTGTTCTTATCCGTTGACGCTTGAGCTTCTGGTTTATTCTTTTTATTATTCTGTTCGGTACTCGCGTTTAGTTCGTGGTTATCGTTCTCGATTAATCCATTGGCAGTTCGAATCAGGTCCTCATTCGCGGCTTGAGCGTAATCACTCTCTTTAGCGCCAGATACACTTGCGATACAAAGTAAGTGTCCTTGACAAACGTTAAAGACTTCCAGAATATCGGCTGGATTATTAGCATCTATCACAGTAACTTTAGACATCTTCTGCGTCGATGTGCAGATCCATACCAACGAGCTCAACTGTTGTTCAAACTGTTCTGCTTCCACTCTTTGATTTTCGTTTTCTTCAAGCTCCTTATCTAAATGTTCAATAGCATCCTCTGCTTCAGTTTTTGTATTCGTGTTCACTTCTTGAGCTTCGGCAGCGTAAAATACACTGCCCCCAATCATACAACCACCGTCTCGTGTTTTACCACCACTTAAAATCACACCAGCTCCGCACCATATCTAAGAAAAAAAGTTCGAAATTGAACAGACATTTTTTAATAAATACCGTAATTAGCTGACGTATTCAGAACAAATAAAATTTCACCTTCATGCCAGGTTCTGATTCCTGTAAGGGTCTGCAATAGACTGGTACAGGAACGGGTTGTCTAACCGGTGCACTTGGTTTTCCAGGCAAACTCCAACCGTAGGCATGTAAACGGCCATCCTCTTTCCTAACATGTGCACGAACTTGACGGTATTGCTCTCTTCGTTCGTTCGCACGTCGTGCTACGAGTTTTTCAGATGCTCTGTAAAAATTGAGCGAGAGTAAATTAAATATTAAATCAGTTTTTAAATTACACATGATCAAGACAGAACTTTTTAGTTGTAAAAGTTAGTAAATTTACTGTTGTTCGTTCAATCACATATTCCTATGAAGACTCTCTTGATCACGGGACTGTTTCTTGAATTCGAACGATGTTTTATTCCGACATTTCTTTTCCATCATTATTGTATAACAATAGTTTCAGGTACGTTATTACTTTTACAAGGAGATTTAAATAGATATATTCACGTGTAAAAGCAGAATGTTAGACATAGAGCGGAACAGATTTACCTGCTGGCCAATAAGCACCCCACCGAAAACCAGAAAAACCAGGTATCTCTTGACAACGCCATGAAGGAGAGGCAAGGATGAAACCCGAACGAAAAATCAAAGCGTAGACCAAGAGTGAAATAAAAGCCAAGTTTATAACATAGTTCAAAATTTCATTTATTTGTTGATCAATGATGATCATATATTATTTTTCCTTTCAAAAAATATACAAACTTTTATTTACAAAACTATTGCTCTTCAAGCATGACTTGTCAAAGGTAACAAACAATTTACTTCGTCAAAGTCGTCATTACTCAAGTACCCGTATAGCGGGCTGTAAATTCATTTATGTTGTACGTGTATATAAACAACATTCTGACGATGAATTCCTATGTAATTTTATTATGTATGAAAAACAGATAGGTCTGTTAGTAAGACTAAGATCGTCAAAAAGAGAAAAACAGTAGTTTGAGTGCAACAAATCATAATCCTACGTCGATACTTAATGATAAGAGCGTATATCATTGCGCGCAAAATATACCACGATTTTTCTTTTATCAAAAAATGGCAGGTAAGGACAAATATAATAACAATTTGTTAAAGGACCATCACATTTGCAATTCGGTCAGGCAACATATTAATTAGAAATGACTCACATTTCTTTAAGAGCGATCAAGAGTAATTGAGAGTCACGAAAAAAAATTATGGATCCCAACTGACCAAACAGGACTCTAATCTGTAAAGACGATTTCGATTCAAAAAAGATCAAAAGTCAAAATATCGAAATTCTCTCCCATAGAGTCAGAAAATTTCTTGCTGTCATTGCAATAGCTTTTGTAATGATCAAAGAGAATAGTGTAAAGTTAGTCTAACGAGTAGTACTTGTCTTTCTGTAAAAATTTTCGTTGCAGAAATGATCACGATCATGGTGTATTATATATTCAAACTAATAGAGTTGAAAAGAGAGCTAGATGATTAAAGAAACAATTCTCTATATAGAGGATAGAGAACAATTTGGCAGATTTGTGTCAAGTTGACATAACATCTAAGTGCATATATAGAATTTGATTGATTTCTCACATGGTGTCTCCCTGGTCGAAAAACTCATGACGACTTTTCAACGTACGTCTACGCATGGTATCCAAAGGAGGTGCTGGGACAACTTGATTCGTTGGTGCACTGTACCTAATGTGAGGTAACGTATGTGGTCCGCGAACCAAGGCTCCCCGATCCGCAGGTCCTGTGAAAAGATTACTAAAACTGCGAAAAGAAAGAAATGACAAATTATTATTCGATTCAATATCACACATTTTCGTGATACAAGTACACTAACAATTTCCACACTTTCCCTCCTGATATACTAGTAGGATCAGTCTTAGAAGCCCTTATCATTTCAGTCCATCTGACTGCTTCTTGAAGTTCCATGAATCGTTCTTTGTACTGATTTCTTTCCATAAGCACCCTAGCCATTTCGACTCTGGTAAACCTCTTTCTTTGTGCTAATGATACGTCTTCCTCGTCATCACTCTTAGCTGCCTTCGCTGCTGCTTCTGCTTCCTCTTTAACTTTCTTTAATTCTTCTTCAAGAGCAGTAACTTTTTGTCTTAAACGCTCTCTAGCCAATTGCAAGCCACGAACCTCCTCACGCAATATTTCTTGTTCACTAAAAGATGAATTTGATACATACACATGTAATAAGCAACAATGTATATTAATTATAGAAATATGTTTACCTGGTGAGTTCATCCACTTTTACAATTAAATCGTCTTTGACGATGTTCAGCGCATTTCTGAAAGAGAGATGCAATAATATAAGACATTAATATAGCGTCGTCATAAACGTCGATGTAAACAAAGTACTCACTTCGTAGCCAAGAGTTCATTGTTTTCCATGATAAGATTTTCGACCTCCTTACCCATTCCTGAAGCAATATCATTCCATTTATAAAATATAATTAGTTTATATGCATTATTAGCAATAGTATATCAATATCTTACCGAAAAAGTTGTCATTTACTGCAGGAGGAGTTATTTACATCATGCGATTATTTAGTAAAAATATGACCACGTCCGGTAGAAGACAAGCCATAAAACATAAAAACACATTAGTATATATCTTTACAAGTTAATCACGTCGCAAATAGCTATTTGTAATTTCGAAATGTTTACTTTTTCTTGTAATTGTCTTTTTCGTATTAATCCCTGGAATTTCAGATGTTATGTGGGCATAATTGTAATTAAATGTTAAATTGACTTTCATCAAGCAAAACTGATTTTAGTTAAATATTTAAAGATACAAAAAAGTTAAAACATGCTTGAATAACACAAAACAAGTATCGTGCTATTTGACTCGTCAGAAATTGATTATAATGAAGATTTTCATTCACTCTAGTATTCGAAGGATTAAAACAAAAATAAGTAATGATTTGTGCATGAATCTTTAGTTATTTTATTAAACGTACCCGATGAGGCATATTCTCCTGGGTGAACCCAACTACCTATGGTTTTGAATTTTTCGAAGGTATTAGTTAAAAAGCTCTCGAAAACGACATCACACGTTAGAACTTGATCAGTTAATTACCAGTAATATCAGCTCCTTCATCCATTTCTCCTAATGCATCGACATCCTGAAAACTGAGTTCCTGATATAATGTATTGCCGCTACGTTGCTCCCTTTCTGTTCTACTTCTGCCACTTGGAGTACTAGCCAGTTTCTCTGTAGCCGTTGGTGATGTCGGAGTAATCAAAGGTGGTGGTATTTCAGTTTCTGGACTTTCATCTACGAGCAAACAATTACAACAAAATATAGATATAATATCATTAAAAATCTTGAGGTTCACATGAAACAAGAACATACGTCTGGAAATTGCTGTTGTTTTGTTAGCTTGCACTGGCTTATCTGTTAATTGACTTTTATCAGATGTTTCAATAGCAGCTTCGCTACTACTGTCCAACATTTCAGTTCTTAAGTTAGCAGCTGTATTTGGTGGGCTTTCTTCTTGTACTTCTTCCGCATTTATGCTAGCTTCTAAGCTCTGAAAACCATAACTCAATGGTCCAGAACTTCGTGACATGTGAGCTAACCCAAGAGATGGCAAGCGGGATGGACCACGACCACTAGACGCATTTTCTAATCTTTCTGAACTTCCAACTAACATCTTTGTTCTTTCCATGTAATCTACATGCGTTTTAAATAGTTCCGTATATCTCTCATGCAGGCGTGTATATTCACGCTTCAACTCAGCTTCTTTTTCTTCAAGACGGACAACTAAACAAATACAAAAACAATATTCCATATATGTATCAATAATTGAATCAGAGCTATATGTGTCAATGGAACAAGTTCTAAGTTTTGATGTACATAAATATAAATTATTCATGTTGAATACACTAATAAATAAGGCACTTCGTACTGAAACAGAGACTTAGAACATGCCAATACTCCAGAGTTAAAATCAAAACAAATAAAATGTATATATATTGTATGGAATCAATTCTATTCGTACACTAAATAACTATAAAACAAAAAAAAGCTTTCTACTCTACTGTAGAGGGGTGTTCTGTGAAGGGATGAACTGAGAGAGCCATTGGCATTTGTACCGTGATCATGTGAATTTTTTGTCTTCAGTTCCAGCATCCTCACAATTGACTCCAAACTATCAATTTTTGACAAAAGTTCTTTCCTTTCATCTTCTGCAATATCTTCAAGTTCCAACAATTTCTAACAAAAGTGCCATAAACATTAGCTCCTTTCAAGAAACGTCACAGTTATTGAAATATAAAAAGTAATACAAGTCGTACTTGATCAGATGTTTTTCTTAATTGTTTCTCCCTTTCATATTGTGTAACAAGTTGTTCATTGTCTTCCCTTAATAACTCTAATTCGACTTCACGCTCTTGATTTTCAGTGTAAGATATGTCTAGACATTCTAAAACATTGACTAGGAGAGGCATTAGGTCTTTTACCACATCTTCATCGTAACGAGCTATCATCTTTTCAAATTCTTGATAAATACTGCCAGCGAGAGACTGCACTTTCTCTGACATAACCACATGACTATCCTCATGGGTTCCATATACGGTTTCTTGATCCATCTCTATTTGACTCATTTTTAACACCTGAAATAAAAAAAAAATTCATATAAATATTATCAAATCATGTAACTCCATTCATTTACGTAATTATATCTGCAAATTCTCCTGCATATTAATCATTCTTTCATCAATGTATATAATATTACATTTCAATGCAATTTTCAGGCATTCTGCCAAGTAATAGTTACAAGGTAAAAATGACATATCAAAAGGACATTATTGCACAACTATAGAAGAAGTGAATTTTCATTTATTGCGACTCGAACGACATATATCAATAATATTAATAAGGAGAACAATCGTTACACTCAACTGTTTGGACTTTTATTTAGTATGTACTTGGACTTTATATACTCCTATCAGTATTCGGGAATTGTTTAACATAGGTTCAAATAACGAGACATCATTATAGAAGCGTTAATTACAGCTCGATAGTAATCGTAATTCGTTTTATCGTCGCACTAATTGCCGAATACGGCTAAAGGGTCCCCGATGAACGTTCACGAGATCCAAATGTCAGACGCATAACTGCACATAACCTGGCACGGTACACTTTACTCGAATACAGAATACGTATACACTCCTAAAGCGACAAAATTAAATCAGGTCATCGCAACTTGATCGGAGAACTGTTGTGCCCCGCGACATTCGGTCATTCGCATTATCACTATTTTTACGTGCGCTGTACGATCCCACGAGAACGAGAAGTGGAACGTCTTGCCTTAGAATGACCTGTCCCGTGTTGTGATCTTTGACGTTTCGCAACACCACTGGATCCCTTCTTGGTTCTGCTTTTTTTCTTCCGTTATTTTTTTCACTCGGTTGAACACGCTTATCTGTTAAAACGCTGATTCCTTATTATATAAAACGCACCGAGGTGGCGCAGACTAGACGAAACATTTTCCGTGCATTATGCTATCGCGTTTGACAATAGCCAATTTCATTACTCTCTGTCAACTCTGTTGACGTTGACGATCGTCTTTACACGCTAATCATCGCCATTTTTCTTCGTTCACTACGTGTCGCATCGTAATCGTATCGTAGATATCGTATCGTTAACTGTCGTTAACTTCTGGTTAACTCCTGACTGCTCCTGACTTCTGACTGCTTATGAACTTATGACCACTTGTGACGTGACTGACGTGTTTAGTAAAGGTTGCAAAAGGTATGCAGCATACGGGAGTGAACTAGCAACCCTGGCGGAGAGAAAGACAAACCACGAAAACGAATTCTCATTTTTCTGGTACACTACACTCGAACAAAATGCAATAAAATCTCGATATTTGTGTTCAGAAGACGTAGGTATGCCAATAGCACATTCTTAGAACAATTGACAAAAAATAAAATCTCTCTAAAAATCTGTTTTTCTACAGATTTGAACATGAAATTACAAAATCGGGCTCTATAGCGCTCTGTGGGATTTTACAAGGAGTATTTGTGATAAAAAAAGTCATAAGAGAATATTACTTCATCGCCTTAAAATCTTGGAACTGTGAAAATCGTAAAATCTGCATCGTTTAAATTCTGGCGCTGCCATTGTATGCCAGTGCCAGCTGCCAGAATCGCGAGTTGCGGCCCCGCGCTCGATGATTTCGCGCAAGCAAATATTACTTTCGGACCAACCGCGCGGTTTGTCATTTGCAAGGTCTGCAGTCTGCATCGTCTGCATGCGCGCATGCACCGTCCGCACTACTTCATACTGTTCATAACCGTCTATGCCTGTGACCGTCTGTACCTTTTCTACTTACGATTTATGCTTACGCTCAAAATAAACACCTGTACAGCCCATCTTGCATTTCTGTCTGACCGCTGTCGCACCTACTTCTTTTTACAGGACTTCATACTCCAGTTAGTAAGTTAGGATAGAGCTCAGTGGCCACATTGCAACCCACGAGGTAGTGATCTCTGATGGCAGAAAGAGGCATTACAAGTTGATATCTACATGTACCATTTGCTATATTTGTATTTTATTAATTTGTAAATAATTAAATAATAACGTTGTACGTACGAAATAGTATTGATAATTATTAAATACGTTTAAATTACGCTGTAATAAAGTAATAAAGAAAGATGTAATGGAAGATGTAGATAGAAATAAAATAAATAAGCGCAATACTCAATCGCGGTAATTTGAAAATAAAAAGAGAACATTTCTTGTAACATTCTGTCACTATAGTAGAATTCCATGTACGATCGCTAATATAAACTAATATGAATCATAAATGAAGCACGGATACTGACGTAGGTGTTACTATCATTCTCGTGTTAGTGAAGTTATTGTGCACCGTAATTAATTTCCGATAAAGATAACGTTTATATCTTCGGGAAGCATTGGAACTACGTGGAATTGATTAAACTGAACTTTGTTCTACGGGCACTTGCGTACTTTATTAATTATGGATTATTAATTTAATCGCAGATGGAGGTTCACTCCTTCAGTACGTGCTTATTGTATAAACAAGCAAAAATAGTCACAGTAAGTGCAAAGTTGCAACTTCAATACGATTTCGTAGTGTGTAACAAAATTGCAGAGTATTTTTCAAGGTACAAAATATTATTATGATTGAATTTAAAATTAAGTTTTTTTTATTCGATAGAAATGTTCTGTAAAAAGTTGAAAGTGTAAATGTTCGTTACGTGAGGTATCATGAGGATTTATTTATTTCCTTCAAAGAACAGATGTCTCCGTTTTTATTTTCTTTCTAAATTACTTTTTCTTCGTCAGTTCCACTCTTGTAGTAAAGAATACACGTATAATGTTCAGTCTAAATTAGTTGTCCACCCGCACCCCGCATATCAAAGCACTGTACGCGTACAGACAAACTGACATTTACGATTGACGCGGGGCGCATTCCTCCTCTTTGATACACTTTATTGGCCTAATAGAGCCGAATTGTTGCCGTATCGTGTAAAGCAGGCTAAGCCTTGGACTAGCTGTCTAGACGACTTACAAAAAGCTCTTCCCTTTTGTGTGACAATCGCGTTGCATGCAAAACAAACGGTACAGCGTGGAACACGGGCACGTGTGAATTAGGTCGTACTTAACAGCATTGATCACTTTGCAGATAAATCGTGCTTTAAGCGCAGCGAAACAATCGAGTGTATATTTCCTACGTTATTCAATTTTTCAAGAGATAAATTAATGACGCATTTCCTACTCTATATTCGGGACCAAAAATTACTAATATAATGCTTTTAAAATGAATACTTTATACACAGTTAATACCAAAAATCACTGGTGCAATAATTTATGTGATTTTATTATATTAATTTATGTAATTTAATGATACATTTCCTACTCTATATTCGGTATCAAAAATCAATGATTCAATACTTTTAAAATTGATGATATTTTTTCTACTTTATACGTATTCAGTACCAAAAATCACTGATACAATGGTTGATCTTGATCGAACGAGCTTCGCTCTAATCGCGTTATGATATAAGTCGAGCTATCTATAGTTGCAGAACAACGGCAACTTTCTCGTTCAGCACGAGCGTAGGATTATCAGGCTAGGCCAGATTAAGGATGTAACGTTTGTTGTAGGCGCATAGATCACGATGATGATCCGTAACGAGTACGTGTCGAGCGGCAGGGCGATCATATGGGTACGGGGTACACCAAACACAGGAGCGATCCGAGTGAGCGAGTGACTGAGTGAGTTGGAGGTCGGAGGAGTATATTGGCCATTTCCGCAGGAAGCCCTAGGTAACCTGTAACCGCCATTGAGGTTGGAGCTAACGTGCCACAGATCGTTGCCGTTTCATAACAAGTTGTTCTGGATTTGCCTGCACACAATCTCGACACCTTAATCGATTTATAGATATTTCGTTTTCCAATGAATTGAATTTTTCATTTTATTTACGATCATATGTAGCGAATTATTTTAACTGTTCCAATTAACTGATGAAAATATCCGAACACCTTTTAAA